GCCTTTTCTGTCCGACTAGTTGGGTGATACTAAAACAATTAGACCCTTCGCCCTTAAGGGCCACGGGTCTAATTTTTAATTAGTCTATCGTATTGACATTGATTGACGCTGCACACGCAAGTGATGCGAACAAGGACTTGATTTCGTCGGAGACAGTAAAAGCATTAAAAAAAACAAAAAAAACAAAACAAAAACAAAAAAACTGAACAAAAAAACAAAAACTGATTGGCCACGAAAATTGATCCATACTGCGCGTCGTTGGTCTCTGTTTCTGTTTGTGTGCAGCCTTGGAAGCGACTGGCTCATAGCTGCCGGAGCTTATCCAAGTTTCTCTAACATGAAGCGGCTAGGAGTATTTTTACTCCCCCTGAACGGGATGCTAGTCCATCGCAGGTCACTCCCCCGCAATTTGTTAGGTTTACCCATTTATACTCCTGGGTGGAGAGAGGCACTGTGTCTTGGCCAAGAACACAACACAGTGTCCCCGGCCAGGGCTCGAACCCGGACCGCTCGATCCGGGGACGAACGCACTAACTATATATGAGGCCACCGCGTCGTGTTTCTGTTTAGTTGCTGTTTTATTGATAAAGTTTGATCGTGTTACGTATTTACATGGTACAATAAGCACTTCTTAAAGCCGTTCGAATGTTGCACCCCCTAAAAAATACAAGTGTCATATTACACTCCTACCTCCCCATAACGGCCACCTCTCGATAACGGCCACTTCCTTCTGTCCGCGAGGTGGCCGTTGTGGAGAGCCTCGACTGTACTTTCGTCAGATGTTGTTTGAACGATTGATAAGCTCACCTTCATCTTCGACATAATTATTCAACAGCCCAATCTTAACAAGATGCTGAGGTGTGGAGACCGACAGAGACAGGGTATCACCCACAGCTTCATGGAATCCTGGGTTGGCGCTATCGCGAAAGATGTATGGCTGGTCCCAGTAGAACAGGTAGTAGTAAATGTGACCCATCTCGTGGTGTGTCGTGACAAACCAGTATTCCGTGACTTCCGTGCACTGTCTGATCCTGGAAGCAAAGTTTTGTAATAATTATTTTTCCGATGTAGAAAATTACTTTTAGAATCTGAATACAGTTTTCTAAAGTGGAAAAGAAAGAACAAGTGGTAAATCGAAAAATAAGGATGGTACCCAGGTCCCCAGAGGTTTTTCTCCGCCGTCCATTTCTGGCCCTCTTTCTGTCACGCAAAGCTACTCCTGAGCGCGTAGCAGGCCGCGGCCGCGCGAACAGGAAGTAGTCTCTGGACTTTCCAGCTCGCTGGTCGCCAATACAGTAAAATTAAAACCCACCAGTAAGAAACTGCATTTTCCCAAGTAAGACTAAACAGGTTCTTACATAAATGGTATCTAACAAAAACATTTAGTCTACTTAGGTTCTTAAATGGGTTCTTATTTTCTTAGGAAAATAATTTCAGCATGTTCAGTTAAGCTCTCAAATTTAGTGGTTTTCAGCCTATACCTTACATAAAATTAGCATAAAAAGTATTTATTTTTATGCAAAAATGACTTTTATTGAAAAAAGAAGTGCTTACCATATAAATGGTCAAGTGGAAGTCTTACATTGTACATAACACTATATGCTTTCTCAGCATTAACAGCGTATGGTCCCAAACTTTTAACACAACTTAATGGAGTTAACACAACTTAATGGATCAGCAATGGAGTGATCACTACAGTACTCGTTATATATACCTAACTTTTATATTTTATTATGTGATTTTGGCAATACTGTATTGTAATTCCGTTTGGGTACAGAACATTGGCATTCAATTAAAAATTTGAATGAATACATGAAGGTACCTGTTTTTCCATAAACAATGGCAAAATGCTATTTGTCCAATTTAGTGAATTTTTTATCTGTGATTCAGAAAATAAGAACCTGTTTGCAATTTCAGGCTTAACAGGTTCTTGTACAGAGGGGGTCTAACTGACAAATTTTAGCCTAGCATGCAGGTTCTTAAAATCTAGGTTCTTACCCGCCCGTTTTCACTTTAGTCAGTTTTGAAGACTGATCGCGGTGCTATAAATATTTGGAGCGGTAATGGATATGTAGATATTTAGAAAATAGCCCATACCCGCGCCCTAATCGTGATCTGTCTGTGAAGACGATTTAGATAAAATTTTGAACGACTAGGGGATTTATGCTAAAACACTTAGATTATTGGATCTCGATTTCTACGCGTGATAGCTGACTCGAGCTGCGCCCTGGTCAACTATCGCGCGATAGTCTAATTGTAAAATAGAAACACTCGTGGAAGTTTGGGGGAACTCGAAAAAGCTGTGGAAACACTCGCCTGTCGGCCCGTGTTCACACAGCATTTCTCGTTCTCCTAAACTTCCGCTCGTTTTCTATTAAACAATTAGATTACGAGCTCGAGATTTCTATCGCTATTCCGAGTCAACTATATCACGCATAGAAATCGAGAGCGAATAATCTAATTGTTATATTATAAATCTACTAGTCGTTCAAAACTCTATCTAAATCCTCTTCACAGACACCTGGAAAACGTGAAGAAGCGGCCGTCGTTTTTTAACAAAGGCACACTGCTACGCTACTCGCTATCTACCGTGAAACGTGAATTAAGCGGACCCCATATTAAGCGGACACCCTCTATTAAGCGGACAGCAGCTTGAGTCTCTAAATTTTCTTCCCACATTTACTGCAAAAATAAACCTGCATTCAGCAGACACCTCTGTTAAGTGGACGCGGACACCAATATTAAGCCGTTTTGTTGCACAAAACCTGCAATAAGCGGACACTTCAAGGGCCTTTAACTTCTAAAAGTTCAGTACAGGCACCTTTGACGTTGTTCAGCGATGTCATTTTAAAGCTAATTAGATGATTCCAGATTGATGCATTGACTGACTGGACATTGTGCTACAAGCAGTCTTTGATCTTACACTGTGTTACAAAAGGGTTAACGGTTAACTGTTATTGCTGAACCTGTCTAGAACGGACACTAGTGAGGGTCCCAAGGATGTCCGCTTAATACAGGTTTCTGTACGGGGCCGCAAATGATCCCAGGACCGAAAATGATCCCGGACCGCAAATGATCCCCAAATTGAACCGCAAATGATCCCGGACCGGAAATGATCCCCATATTGGACCGCAAATGATCCCGATCAAAA